TTCCTCGGAGATTACATTATTCCTATAAATAATAACTCATACCATATTTCGTGAAGATATATTGTGAAGTGAAGAAGTTTCCCATGCAAGCATTTGATTGCGATCATTCAGTTTCTATGGCAGCTATATGCTATAGTTAACCGATCTGAACAATTTCTTCGGAGATTACATAGTTGGCTTATAAAATAATCTATACCAAATTTCGTGAATACTATATCTTGTCAAATGTAAATTTTTCCATACAAGAAATTGATTCCGATTATTTAGTTTGTATGGCAGCTACATGATACAGTGGTCCGATATCGGCAGTTCCGACAAATGAGCAGCTTCTTGAAGAGAAAATAACGTCTGCAAAATTTCAAAGCGATATCTTAAAAACTGAGAGACTAGCTCGTATATATACAGACAGACAGACGGACATGGCTAAATCGACTCAGCCCGACATGCTGATCATTTATATATATACTTTATAGGGTCTCCTACTCTTCCTTCTGGGTGTTACAAACTGCGTGACAAACTTAATATACCCTGTTCAGCGTATAAAAATTTGGGCAGCGCTTGCAAACGATCCAGTAAGCTTCGAATTGAGCCTAAAGTATTTTAAAAATTGGAGCAGCATTTAAAGGATATTTAATATTAGCGATCAGAATGTAAGAGGGCGGAAGAAAACTCAAAGGACTGGTCTACATGATTCTTTCTTAAAGAGAAGTGAAACTTTTCACGCAATTGTAAGCTGAAAATTCGCTTCCCTGCAAAATTAAAAAAAAAAAAGAACAGTTAAACAAGGCTAATTCATCTTTAGAACCTTCTTTCTCACCCCTTGCCAACCGCAACGAAAAATGGGTATCTAGTAGCTGCAGTATAACTGAAAGGAATGGAAATACAAAACCGCAAAGCTATGGTCCAACCGAAGCAAGCGCACGCACGCACTCTTAGCGAGAACACCCACAAACACGCACACACACACCCACATTTGCAACATGAGCGCAGTGTGTTGGTGTGCGTTGCCAACACAAAAGATCATGTAAGCGCTCAAAATCCARCAACAACAATAGCACAAATGCGTATATGAATAAGTCGGGTGAAAGTAGGGCGTGTGGAGAAAGCAGCAAAGCGTTAGAAATTATTCTTGAATTTTTCGGTTTGTGGTCTCCGGTCTCCCGTTTCGGTTACAACACAGTCGACAAGAGTAACAACTACAAAAGCAACAACACGACTAATGCTGCACTAATGCTGGTTAGCAATTGTAGTTTAAATGGCCGCTAGCTAAATTCCGAAGCGTAAATAGATAGCACACACATGGGATAGCACAGTACACAGTCGGTACGCACATATGTATATGCGTAGGTGCGCTTGCAACAAAGAAAGTAGAGTATCATGTAGCATGAATATATAAAACATAAAAGCCAAGTGCTGYGGTTACTTAGCCGCTCATGTGTGCTGAATATTTAGAATGCTGAAAATTATGCGCATTTAATTGCTGAAAATTGTAGGCGCTGCATAGTAGGTAATGCTCAATGAAACCGAGTTGGCCATCAATTAAGAAAAAAACGTTGCTCTAGCATACTCACTGCCTCTGCGTATCCTTTTGACACCATACGCCGGATCATACCAGTTGGACGCCTCGTTTGTCTTGGCATGCGCACCGGTCTCATGGCTGTGTAGGATGTCTCTGTAAGCCTTGGCCTTCTCCGCTTCGGTGAGCTCAACATTCGGTTGGAGCGTGGCTAAGGCGGTGSCATTGTCAGCTGTCGTTTCRGAGGGCRTATCACTATMSGTCGGCACGCTAGTTACTTTCTTGGCATATAACTCAATGGCGATTGGGTCCTTAGTGCGCTGTGAAAAGGAAGAATTCAAACAAAAATTATTGTTTTTTTTTATTAAAAAAA